CCTCTCAACTGTGTGTGTCTAGCACACAGCAAAACTCAACAAATTCAAGTTCCCCTTTCTCCTTGACCCAAATGACAAATTTGCGGGGTGTCTTGATGGGAGAGGTAATACTGCTTCTCTTTCATTACCTCAGTTGGAAACTGAAGACTCAGAAATGAGTGCTCCCAGGATCGCATGGAGGACTGGGGGCAGGGCGGGCGCTAGAACTCCGGCCCTCCCAATCTGGTCTGTGCTTCCCACCCCCATCACCATATAGATGGTGAAAATACCCCAACCCAAATGTGACAGTGCTTATCAGCTACATCCAGAATCCCACCTTGCACAACCCATGGTTTATAACCATCGCTAAGAGTCGAGAAACTGAATCATAACCACCCAGGGGACTCCTTCAGATGCAGCCTGAGACCACAGGTACACTTACTCCTCTCCTTCTCGGGTTCCTGCCTCCTTTCCGTCCTAAGTAATCTTCCCATCCTTCCCTAGACAACAGCTAAGCTGGGCAGTGTGAGAAGGGCGGCTCTGTAGCTCGGAAGCGCTTCATGGTGGTGTATTAAGAAGTACATTTGCTACAGAGATCTCAGCTAGCGTTCACTTTTCCAAGTTAATCTTACCAGAAGTGTTCTTAAAACGCATCTGATTTTCCAAAATGGCAAGATACTTTATTTTTAAAATCCCGTTATTTTAACACTGCATTGTTAGGTGTGACACCCCAGCAAGGCAAAGCTGTAATCTCACCAGCTGCCATTTAACTTATGGCGCATTTTGTCAGCTCTTATTTTATGCAGTATATATGAGCTTAATATAGTTTCTATAGCCCTGGAAGCTGTTATTTTTCAAGATTGCAAAATTATATTGTCTGAGCTTGTGGTGCAAATACCAGTATAGAGATTTCAGGTAAGTGAGGTTTGGAATCCGAGTGCGACTATGTCAATCTGTTTAGCTCGGTTAGTGGAGATCCAGCCCCGGAAGACCAGGGTCCCGGGTGTGATTCCGCGGTCTGCTTCCTCCCAGCCTGGAGCTCGGTGCGCACACCTTGTATATGACTGTCCTTCAGTGCAGACCCTGAGGACAATGTGATCTGGCAGCACTCCTGGCAAGTCCAGCAGTGCTCGTGCAGCTGAGAGGTGGGTAACTGGTAGTTTTCACAGAGCCACAGGTTTGCATCACCTGGGCAGCTTTTAAAAAAGGCCCACGCCTGGGGCCCCAGAGATCTGATTCTATTGTTCCACGCATGAGTATTTTTTAAAACTCCCCACACAAAGCTAACATGTAGCCGGCGTTGAGGTGCATGGAAAGGAGGGGGGTGGACAGGATTTGGAGCGGTTCGGCTATACTCCCTGCCGCTCCTGTTCTCATCCTGGAAGAGAGGAAAGCCACCTTTTGGCTGCACTGTTCTGTGGGTCTTTTCCTATGTGTCATGAGGTTTCAGATGATGACAGTGTTGGGGCTTCTTCACTAATGAATCATAAAATTTGGTTGTTTTAAAAAAGACACGAGGCATTTTGATAAATCAGGTTGCATTCCATTTGGCACCGTACAATCCACATCTGTTTTAACTGTCCTTTGAGAGTTTACTGAGAATGAAGGCCTTCTGACAGGCATCACTGGAAGTACACTTGTGTTCACAGTTATGAGCAAGAACAGGCAGAAAACATGCATATCCAAGGAGAATCCTTAGTACCTGCACATGCTTCAAACTGTTTTAGAAGCAGGTTATTTTGTATGCGTGTGTGTCTAGTTGGAGGCTTAGTACCTGTTACATGGTTAATGTAACTTTTGCACCAAGATCAATGTGAAAATAAGACATACCATTATGTTTAAGGAGCCCAGCAGTCTGGGAGTTCTCATCCCAACCTGTGGGGGCCTCCCACCACACACTCCCCCCTCCCGTGGCCCCCCAACCCCAGC